TTCAAGTCCTGTGCAAAAACGCATGATCGCACGGGCCCGTCCGGTGCGTTCCAGCCTGGGTTTAATTCTTCTCTCCCAATATTCTGTGCATTTTCAAATTTGCATTTTTAGATGAGCGGCTGCTGAAAGGAAAAGCCGCAAGGCTTTTATGCAAAAAATTGATAATCATGCACACTGCAGGTATATGTGGTCGCACGGCGCAGTACCAAGATCCTTTTCCGTTTGTGTGCAAGAAAATGCCAAAAACCTCGGTCAACATGTGTATTGTGTTAAACTGTGACGCAGGAAATGTTCATGCTGTTAACAACCTGGTTGCTGCAAGAAAGCATGGTCGCACGTGAAATTTTCTCGGAAAAGTACTGCATCCTGTTCAGTCTGGCCACCGAACTAATTGTGTCCCAAACTGCACTTTCACTTGTGCGCATTCGGGATCTAGGCGCGTTTTATAGCTGAATTTGAAATACTTAGGCCGCACCTAAACATTGAAAATTTTCATTCCCCTAGTTCTAGCGGTTCGCGGAATCACTTTTAGCTACAAATGTCTTTGATGTGCCCGAACGCACGACACAGGCGTAGCTTATTTTTACGTTTGGGTGTCCAAATATACACAAAAATATCCTCAGGTCTAATAAAATTGGTTTCGGAGTTGATATTTTGCCAGCGATGTCTCGGCTTTGATTTGTTCCTGCATGTCACGCAGGTGTATGTACAATAGTACAATCTGAAATCTTTAACTCGCAAAAGAGCGAAGAACATCCTTGTGGAATTTCAGCTTTCTACCTTGTCTGGTTCTCGGGATCGCTTTCCGGCAAAGCTTTTTTTCGTTCGTTTTCAGTCATTGGCACGTGAAGCCTAGGCATACATGAAAGTTGATTTTAAAACGAAAGAGAAATTCTAGCTTCTCTGGTTACTGATTTGAAAATGGATGATCGTCGCGTCGCTAGGGTGTCAAATGCGCGAGTGTATTACGTGCTAAGCTATTGCTGCTACTGCGGCATTTCGATTTTTTCCAGGGAGGAGATGTCGCGCCAGTCGGTGTCAACATCGACGTCCGAATCAACGATGGAAAGCGACTTATCGGAAGAGGAGAAAGTGAGCATGGAAAATTTTGCACTGCTCCGAGTACTTGGAAAGGGAGGTAGTGCACTTTTTATTATTATTATTATTATTGTTATTATTATTGTTACTATTATTATTATTACTTTAAATCCTTTCCACTTTGTTCGTGTCATTTTTGCAATTTAGCATTCTATGAAGCGTCCCTCGCTCCACCACACCCCCCCCCCCCCCCC